CCCAGGAAGGAAACTGAGGCACAGGGGAGCATTCAGGGCAGTAATGCGAGTTAGGAGCCTGCGACATGGTATACAGAGACGGGATGTGGGTTCCTGCTGGTGTGACATCCCAGGTAACCTAGAGTGGGCAGAGTGTGATGCCCAGCCTGGCCCAGTCCTGGCATTTCAGTGCCCAGGGTGACACCCATAAGCATTTGGTTGATGGTCAAGGAGTCTCTGAGTCTCACCTATACCAGAAGTGTCTGTGTGTGACACGAGCTTGGCAAGGGGACACTGGTGGAAGGGTTCAGCCAGACGAAACACTTCCTGTCCTCACAGAAGGGCTCATTCTTGGCTCTGCTCAGAAGGACAAAAAGAAGGGACATCTCACCACAGGCACTCCTGTGATCCCAGCACTCAGGAGGCTGAGGCAGGAGGATCACTGTGAGTTTGAGACCAGCCTTGGCTACAAAGTGAGCTCAAGGCCAGCCTGAAGTGCATAGCGAGAGCCTGTCTCAAAAGGACAAAAGATTAAAAAAAAAGGGGGACATCCCTTCAGTCCTCCATGTGGCACACCCTGCTGAAATGCCGCGAGGATGACAGCACCCAGCTGCCCTGCCCCCACACTCGCTCGGGCCTGTGCTCAGTGCCACCCCAGTCCCTCCCAGCTCAGCCCCATGACCCTCCCCCGGGCTGGGGACAGGAAAGAGGCGGTGGGCATGGGTGAGCTGCCAAAAGCCACGCGCTCCACCGATCTCACTTGGCTGGAGCAGCTGTCCCCTTAGAAACATCTGCTCTGCCTACTGGGAGGCCTAGGGTGGGGGAGTTTGTGTTTAATAATCAAGAAATCCGGGCGACGAGTTTTGCGCAGACATGTTGAGTGGCATTTGGTATCTTAAATATGCAGCCTGAGCACCTCGTCCCTTCCCAGCCATCTCTCGGGCAGGCAGAGGTCCAGGACGCCGTCCTTCAGCTGTGATTACTCCAGGGTTCACGACTCCTTCCTGCCGCACTGGCTGTGGTTTGTGACTCAGCTCAGGGCAGAATGTTCTGCAAGTATCCTGCCTAACACGTCACACATGGAGGTGACAGCAGGTTGGAAAGGCAGTCCCCCAGCTGCAGAGAAATCCACTGCCCTGTTAGCCTGGCACTGGGGTCACGCTACCGTCTGGGGCTCACTTTGTCCCCCAGGAGTGAGCGTGACCATCTCTCCTCCATCCACAACTAGGGGACTGTGTGAGACAGGGCCGCGCAGGGGCCTCAACTTCCACTGGCAGTGTAGCCCCTCTCCCTGTACCCTGTTGTGCTGCTTCGAAGGTTCAATCGTCCCTGATCCAGAAGTTCACAAATCCAAAATGCTCCGAAATCTGAGTTTTTCCTCTTCTGAGGGTTCACCACAAGTGGAAAATTCCACACGGCGAAACTTCACTTCATGCATAAAATTATGAGAAACAGAAAGATTACATCTGGGCTAAGTGAAGAGATACACGGATGCATACGTGAATTTCCTGCTTACCCTTGTTCCGCCTTCAAGATGGCTTGTGTCAGAAAAAGTCCTCCACCCAGGCCAGCACTTCTGGTTCCTGACCTTCCCTTTGCCTTGAGTCACGCGGTCCGCTCAGCCCGCAGGCTTCTTTCCGGTCCTGGTCCTGTGGGTGACAAACCTTGACCCAATTCGCCTCATTCCTTCGCCGCAGCTGGTGGCACCAGGCGACCGTCAAGTCGGGACAGTGAGGCCTTAGCTCGTTTTGCGGCCCGTTCGCCTTCCGAGAGCTCAGCGTGTGAAACCTCAGTGGCTGCGCCTGTCGCTGCGGTTGGCAACAGCTGCCTTCACGTATGATCATTTTCGACTTTGGAAATTGTGCTTCTTACTGGAATCTTGGATTCAGCCATTCATTCAGCAACCACGTACCGAGTGCGTCAGGCACAGCTTGGGTCTGAAGACCCACTACGTGCCCAGAACCAGGGACACAGGAGCCGGCAGGCAGCCGGTGCTCTGGGCAGAGAGGAGGCGCCTCGGCCGATTTCAGACCGAGCCACCGGTTCGCACGCTCTTCTCAAAGCCTGGTCTCTGCCTGCCACTTCGCACCCAGTCGCCGTCTTTTCAAAGCCCCATTGCAGGGGCCTGAGGCGGCTCCAGCTCATGCTGAAAGCCAGCTCACCTCTTTCCTCCTTCAGTTAGGATCCCAAGGCTCCTAGCTGCAGACAGAGCTTCCAGACGGATGGCACTTTGGGGGAGGTCACTGTGCTAGCCGTCCCAGTTGTCACCCGTCCCAGTTGTCACTCTGCCGGTCAGTGTCCAGGCTGTGACTCGGGTCTCTGCAGATCAGTGTCCGGAGTTGAGTCAGAGACACAGACCCACGCTGGAGGCTCAGAGCTGGCATTTACCGTCTCATAGTCCGATGACAGAAGTAGGAGGTGGCCTCGGGGACTAGGTGCATGGCCGGCTGAGGCCAGGAGCTGTAGCTTTCTCCTGGGGGAGGGAGGGGCAGGCTTTGCACTTAGGATCCTGCATCCTCGAGAGTGCCCTAGGGGCCTGCATTTTTCAGCAGCAGTGGGCTAGGGGGCTTAATTATATCTTTAGGAGGCACAGACATGCCAAGGAACACCAGCCATGTCTGAGACCCTGAGCAGAAAGGCCAAGAGCCAGGATTTGGAAGATTACTACAGTTGAACTCAGTCCCGTGCCCTCTTTGTTCCCTGAGCCCTTGGAAAGGTGGGGAAGTAAACACTCCAGCAGGGGGCTGGGCCAGCCAGCCGTGGTGGAGCTGCGCCTCTTCATCCTACATTTTGTACTAGAGCAGCCGAGCCAGCTGAAAATCCTCTCATCCAGGACCTTGAGTGGCTCTTCCTTTCCTTCAGGACAAAGATTTGTCTTCTTCCCATCCAGTAATAACAGCCAAATTAGCCCACGCGCCTGTCCAGGCACTGGGCTGGGAGCAGGGGACAGACACAAGCATGATGCAGACCCTGGCACAAACAGGAAGCAGGCGCAGGGTCACAGCTGGAAGAGCAGGTACCATGCGACCCTATGACGAAAAGAAAGCTAGGGCAGACTTCATGCCTCAGCGTTCAGCTGGCCCTAGTGCCTGGCACCTGACAGGTGCCACATAAATACCCACAGGATCAAGTGGGTGACTGGGACTGGCCCCTGGGTGGGCTTTGTAATGTGTGCAAAGCCTCCTCTCCTCCCTTGCTTTCCTGTAGTGGGAAATTAGCAAGAGACCCAAGGTAACAGGGGTCTGGGCCCGGGTAGGGAAAAACCCAGGAGACCCAGCCCCCTAGACCTGTGAGTCCCACGAGGTGAGGTCCTGCGCAGCCGCTACTGTCCCTGAAGCCTCAGCTGCTTGTCTCTCCCCAAGACTGCCGACACCCCTAGGACTGGTCTGAGCTCTCATGCCTTTGGACTTCACAAGTCTTCTTGCTTTCTTGGACATAACTTATTTTCCAAAACTCAATTGCCTCCATAGAAGCTCCTCTACAGCTACCTGTACAGCATGGCCTCTGTTGGATAAATGGATGGGAAGATGGAAAATGGATGGATGGATGGATG